ACAAGTAGTAATATAAAATAAATCAATTGCTAAAAAATTTAACTTTTTTTTTTTTGGAAATCATCTCGCGACCCCCCACGATGGGATCCCGCACCCCCCGGGGGGTCGGACCCCCACTTTGGGAACCACTGCCCAAAAACGATCAAAAAATGCTTTTAAAATGTTTTTGAATCTCTGTTGGTTCTAAATCTATCTCATTAATCTATCTTCATAATCTAAGCTACATTAGTCTAGGCTACACTCATGAACTTTTGCTTTGTCAACATTCACCAAGGTTTGAAAACAAGAGAATTGACAAGTATTTAATAAACTGTATACTTAAACTGTAATGCACTTTATCTAATTTTGAAAGTAAATACTTGTGAACATATTTTGAAGGAAATTGGTCCTTTTAACCGTTGATATTAGCTCTGGCTAAAAATAATCTCTATTTTTGAAAGCATCTATGGTTGAGCATTTAGCTTTTTCTACCTATTGTGACTCCAAAACTCGGATTGCAGCTTGAGCAAAGGCATATTTTCTAATTGTGACTTCTGTCACTTTTAACATCTACTAAAACGCACATTACTCTAGACTTTATCATTTTAAAAACATTTTAAACAGTTGCTCAGTCTCCCAGCTAAAAAGTCAAAGTTTTTGTCAGTCAGATTCTGGAATACTTTAACATTTATTGCTTTTGTCACAGTTGTGGTTCTGGTTGTAGCAATAGCATCGGCAATAAAATTGATTTTCATGCTGGTTATTGTTCTGCTAATCAGTATTTTATGTATAGTATTGCAACAATTCCCAAAAACAACACAAGTAGTTTCAAGTAAAAAGACATAAATCTAAATCAAGTTGCCTGAAAGGGAAGCGGAAAAGAAAACTAGTTCTAAAAACGTATCTACGAATATATGGCTACTATGAAATTTTAATTATTTAATAACCAAAACACATTCATGGCTTCTGTCCGCGCTTATAACTGTTTGAAGTTTGTCCCAAAACTTAAATATGTGTAAATACATCAGCTGTTTGTAATAAACAATAACATTGGACCTGTTCTCCGATGGATCAGGCTCAGAGGCTGCATCCAGAGCAATGTTTATATTTTGAGCATGTTTAGATTAAAAAATGGTTAAAGCTTTGTTCTATGTCTGCAATTTAATACACTTCTCTATAAACACATCTGCACTACTTCCTACAGATGTGGGAAAACAGAAGCATCTAAAATCTGACTCAATTTGATTCCTTTTTACTTTACCTTTGACATTATGATATTTATTTTCAACATTAAAAACTTTTTTGATTATCATAGTCTAACTATTTATATTGTTTATTCCTGACACCTCTTCTTAGCGACACTTTTAACCTATAGCTCCAGACTAATTCATTCTATTCTATTATTAATCTTATTATTATATGTTCTAATTATCTTTTAAAGAGTAGATCTGTTTTTGATGTGTGCATTAGAAGCGCTAGCATTTCTCTTTTGAATTTTGCACAACATAAAATTCAGAATGACCCACCTGTGGACAAATAGAAGATTTTTATTTTATTTTGGCAACTCCGAAAATTAATAATAATTTTCCATTTTTGCTTTTGAGGCTGCCCTTTCCATTATTTAAATATGTTCTTTGTGGACCATGACCAACTATGACAATAACATTTACAATTAGGTGGTCATGGTCCTTAACCTTCTAAATCATTAGAAAGAAGTGTAAAACATATATTTACAAGAGCAAATAAAATAATAGAAAGGGCAGCCTAAAAGCAAAATTGGAAAATTATAAAATAAATGTTCGGAGTTGCCGAAATAAAATAAAATTCTTTATTTGTCCCATAGGTGGTCATTTCTAAATTTAGTGTTAGTGGCACATTCAAAAGGAGAAATATAGCGCTTATAACATCAATCATATCTACCCTATAAGATAATGGTAGAATAGAATAGAATGAAATAGTCTGGAGCTATAATGTCCATTGGATTCAAGGAGCTATAGGTATTAAATGTCGCTAAGAAGAGGTGTCAGAATAAAAACCAAAATAGTAATAATAGTTAGACTAGAGAATAATCAAAATAGTTCTATTGTGGAAATAAGTATCAATAAGGTCAAATTGATCTAATAATTTAAAGTAAAAAGGAATCAAATAGAGTAAGGGGAAGGGGGGACAGATTTTAGATGCTTCTGTTTTTCCACATCTGTAGGATCTAGTGCAGATGTGTTTTATAGAGAGTAGTATTAAAATGCAGACAAGAACTACAGGCTTTAACAAAATTTTAAATCTAAAAATAGCTCAAATATAACATTGCTCTTGACGCAGCCTCTGAGCTGCTCCATTGGAGAACAGGTTAAATGTTATTGTTTATTACAAACAGCTGATGTATTTACACATATTAAAGTTTGGGACAACTCTTTAAACAGTTATAAGCAGCGGACAGAAGCCATGAATGTGCTTTTGTTTATTAAATAATTAATTTCATAGCCATATAATCGAAGATTTAGAGGACATTTTTAAATAGTTCTCTTCCTCCCGCTCCCTTTCAGGCAACTTGATTAGATTCATGTCTTTAATATTGGAGAACTTACTGTGTTGTTTTTGGAATTGTCTGAAATACAATACATAAAAATAGTGATTTGCAGAACAAGAACCAGCCAATGAAAATCATCTATTGCCAATGCTATTGCTACAACTAAAACCGCAACTGTTAAAATGGTTTAAAATAATGAAGTATGATATTTCAGCGTTTTATTTTTTTTTTTTTTTGTGGGGGTGGGGGGGTGGGTAGATGTTAAATAGTAGTAAAAAAAGTAGAATTTGATCATTGTTCATAAACACACTTCAGCCGTAAGAGTTAAAATGGTACCATACAATGTGATCCTTCTGATAGAGCAGCTAAACTGTTAGAATCAGAATTATTTTACAGCCATTGAAAGTGACAGAAGTCACAAATTGGAAATATGCTTTGGCTCAAGCTACAACCGAGCTTTGAGTCACAATAAGTAGAAATAGATAGATGCTTTCAAAAATAGAGATTATTTTTAGCCAGGGCTAATATCAAAACGGTGAAAGGACACATTTCCTTCATAATATGTCCAAAAGTATTACTTCAAAAGTAGATAAAGTTCATTACAGTTCATGCACAGTTCTATTAGATACTTGTCAAATTCACTTGTTTCAAACATAGGTGAATGTTGACAATGCAAAAGTTCATGAGTGTAGCTTAGATTAATGAGATAGATTAATGAGATAGATTAGAACCAACACAGATTCAAAAACATTTAAAAGCATTTTAATGTATTTGGGTATAGCACAAAAGTAGATAATTAGGTATTTTTGAGAATTTTAAGAGCTGTCGATTTGTCAGCACAGATTAGAGAATCAAATACCTTAGCTCCTGTAAGGATAATACCAATTTGATTAATGATGTACATTCATCCCAAACTGTCTGAGAGGAGGAAGTGACAGCACTTCCTGGCACAAAGCCACTGTTAATGAAAGCAAACCATAGTATAGAGGGATTTATTAGATAAAAACATATGTTTCGAATGTGGTTTGTGTTGTTTGTTTTCCCTGTATTAATTCTTCACAGACATCGAGCCAGAACTAAGATGTTGGCGATGATGGAAGATCTCCCCAGTCCCGTCACCCGAGAAGGGTTATTGAAAGATTGTGACCTAATTGTTTAATATAGGTCAAGAGAGGGAAATGTTGTAGTTAAATTAGACTAAAAGCAGATGTGAATTTGGCTGACCCTGATTTGAACTCTGTCTCTTTCCTAAGCAAAAAGACCCTGGTCTCACCCTTCCTCCTTAGTAGTCCAAAGTGCAGAATATGAGTTAATGATAGTTAATCTGGGGGGGGGGGGGGCCAAGATCTGCATTCCTAGATTCTGCTAATCCTTTCCGTTGTTTGGAGAAGGAGATGGACCCAGAATCTGGAGGGACAGCCTTGAGAGTCTCCTGCCTTATCTCAAGGAAGTAATATTTCTATAGAATTAGGGAGGGGTAAGTGTGTGTGAATGATTTCTGTTTAGGTCTGGCGAGACACTACATACATAAACTTAAAAAAGAAAAAAAGGAAAAGCCGTCAAAGGGTGTACAACACTACTAATTACAAATGTCACATTAAACGTAAAAAGAAAAAAAGGAAAAGCCGTTAAAGTTGTGCAAAATATTTTAAACCTGCGACAGTGTCGCAAGATGACATCGTCTTGGCCTCAGAACACAGTGTACCTTTGGTAATGATGTCACACGACTATCTGGCTTTCTTGCTGTTTTAACAACGATGTCCTGCCGGTGTCAAAACCCAGGGACATTTAGATGAGAGAACTTTTATTCAACACACAGTGACGAATAATTCAATGTCATCCACTGATATTTATGAACACACTAACCACTCACAACTGTTAAACAACCATAAAACACACACACACACACACACATTCAGAGATCGTGTATGTGTCACACATGTTATTGTTGTTAACGTTGTTTCCATGAATTAATACTATTTTCCATCCATCCATTTTCTTCCCCTCAATCCATTTCTGGGTCGGGGGGTGGCAGTCAGAGCTGCACTCATAACACCAGCCCCTCACTGATCCTCCTGCAGGTGGTGAGTCCACAGGAGCATAATACTATTTTATATTTTATATTTTATTAGGTGTTATCATTATCATAATCACTATTGTTTTATATTATTAAGGGAATTAGATAGCTATGGCCTACGCAGTGGATAAATGCAAGACTAACTATCTGGCCCTCACAGTCACAAGGACTCCATTGTGTCTCCATGTCATGACTCTAATATGTTCTGATTGTCTCTTGATGCAACACGTTTGCCTTTCTATGTGCGACGTAACAATGATTATTTAAACCATGTCCTGACTTTGTTCTGTCTGAAGAAACTCAAACCACTGAAACCTGAAGGAAATTGAAAATAAACTTCCAGGAGCTGTGGTGCGCTCCCAACAAGTATTTTCCGTTATTTTCAATGAGGAATTCTGCTTCACCACCATTTGCAAGATGGCTGCCAAAATTGTCATGGTAACAGAAACCGCAAGATGGCTGCCAAAATCGCTACGCCAACAGAGCCCATAAGTTGGCTGCCAAAATCGCCATGGCAACAGAACGTGAACTATTGTCACGGCAACATGACATTGTGTTCTTTATGAGGTCACAAAGAGTGATAAAGGAAATGGGGCTGAGCCTCCTGATCAGCCCTGCCAGAGCGGCCAAGAAGTGGGAGAACCTGAAAAAGACCTACAAGGTTTGTTTCTTTGAAGCTAATTTGTGAAGCATATATTATACAAAACTCACTGTTTTAAGGAGCTCAGACAGCCACGGACAGGGACAGGGACAGAAGGAGGGGAGCCCATCGCCATATCTTGGAAGTGGTACTCCCTCATGGATGAGGCAGCAGGCCATCTGTGCAGCCTCCCTGCCTGATTGCCTCATCCATGGGGGATGCTGCTTCCACATCTGTGGTGCAACCCCCTCCCCCCGTACAGCCAGACGAGGAAGAGGAAAGCAGTGTGGCAGCCAAGAGGCCGAGGAGGGAGAGTTTGTTGAGTTTTTTGGAGAAGGTGGAGAAGAAGGAAGAGGAAAGGGAGAAGCGAGAAGAGGAGAGGGGAAGAAGAGAGGAAGAGAGAGAGGAGAGACTGTTTGCTAGAGAGAATTGTTGAGAAATTATAAATAAAAATGTATTTTGATAAGTGTGATTTGAACTATATGCATATTGAAATACGATGATGAACACTATTAACACAAAATAAATGTAATCAACTAGACGTTTATAAAGAAAACAATATATACATACATTCAACAATTAATTTTTAGATTTATATAATCAATTGTTTTGTTCTTATTTAAATAGGACAAAACAGATAATTCAAACATTTAGTAGTCGTGGTCCCGAAGAGCTGGTAGCCTGGCCCTTGGGGTGGAAAGTGCTGCTGCCATCCGTCCACACAGCTCCTGTCCACACAGCTCCTGTCCACACAGCTCCTGTCCACACAGCTCCTGTCCACACAGCTCCTGTCCACGCAGCTCCTGTCCACACAGCTCCTGTCCACACAGCTCCTGTCCACGCAGCTCCTGTCCACACAGCTCCTGTCCACACAGCTCCTGTCCACACTGCTCCTGTCCACACAGCTCCTGTCCACACAGCTCCTGTCCACACAGCTCCTGTCCACGCAGCTCCTGTCCACACAGCTCCTGTCCACACAGCTCCTGTCCACACAGCTCCTGTCCACACAGCTCCTGTCCACACAGCTCCTGTCCACACAGCTCCTGTCCACACAGCTCCTGTCCACACAGCTCCTGTCCACACAGCTCCTGTCCACACAGCTCCTGTCCACACAGCTCCTGTCCACACAGCTCCTGTCCACACAGCTCCTGTCCACACTGCTCCTGTCCACACAGCTCCTGTCCACACAGCTCCTGTCCACGCAGCTCCTGTCCACACTGCTGATCAGGCTGGTGCTGCTGATGCTGGTCCTGCTCATCATCAGGCCCTGGCTCCTCTTCCACTGGCTCCCAGAGATCACCATCGCTGACGCAGATGTTGTGCAGGATGGCGCAACAGGCAGTCACCTCGACTGCAAAGGTGGGTTGGACTTCCAGTGCCTTAAAAAAAATGGATCGCCATCTTGCTTTCATCATGTCAAACGCTCTTTCTGTTACAGATCGTGCCCGTGCATGGTGCCGGTTGAAGCGGGCTTCCACTGGGCTCCGAACAGGCTCTCTGTATGGAGGGAGGAGTGTGATGGGCTGACGGAGGCAAGGGTAACCCCCATCCCCAAGGAGGACGTGTCCATTTGGGGGATAGAGCCGGTGGACGTAGAGGGGGCTGTTTTTAAGCACTCGAGAATCGTGCACAGATCCGGGGTAGCCAACAAACAAATCAATAAATAAGCCACGGTGATTACACACAGCCTGCATTTGAATAGAATAAAACAATTTCCTGTTAAAATAACACTGTGCATTCTCTTGAAGGGGCTTTATTCTGATGTGGCAGCCGTCGATGCTCCCCACAACATTATTGAGAGCAGCTGATCCAGTCAGCAACTGAAACCCAGCTACAACTTGTGGAAGTTCCTCCAGGGAAGGGAAATGAATTATTTGGCCACGCATTTGAAGGATCTGGTTGGCCACCCTGTGGATCACATCGTGGACTGTGGACTGGGGCATGTCAAATGCCCTGGCGACAACACGGTACGCGGTGCCACTGGCCAACCAAAAGAGGAAGACCAAAACCTCCATGTCCTGGCTCCAGCCCTGGTGATGAGCACTCCTCAGGTGGCTAACCAGACGGGTGATGGTGGTTCGAGTGAGACGAAAATCGGGGCGAAGGTCAGACTGGCCATTTAAGTACATGCTGAGTAGGGGCACATGGTGGTTCAGTCGGCAGTACACCGGTGGTTCACCCTAAAACAAAACAAAAATTCTCTTAAACTTAATATGATACTTCTAGATTCATTTTTTAATTCTGTATCTGCACTTTTAGTTATGAGTGCAGACACAGGAATAAGTACTCATTTTTCATTTTGAGATTTAAAAATGTAAATAAAAATGAAGAGTATATAGCTGAAGTCATGTTCTTTTGTGCCCTGGCATTGATTTTGCCAAATGTATTGTGTGTTGCAGGGAGCTGGAGCTGCCCTGAGACAACTGAAGTAGAAACCCTCACTACATCACTCGCACCTAAAACCAGTGTTGTGCGTGAACGAGTTCAAAAGAACGCGTTCATTGAACACGCTCATTTTTTCGTGAACGTTGAACTGAACGCAACACATTTTTAAAAAAAGAACTTGAACGTGAATTAGTTCATTTTATGTGTCATGAACGGCAGACATCACTATGAACGTTGGAATCTGTTTTCTCTTTTGAAACGCAACGAGAGAAAGTTACTAGTATTCTCGCACTTTTTCCGCCGAAATCTAAAAATTCCTACGGTTTCCACCGTCTGTGAACGCACCCCGACTCCGTGTTGTGGTGCGGCGCTGTGAGCTGGTGCTTTTCACATGTGCCCGAGTCGTGATGAAAACACAGGGTGAGTTAGCGACAAAGTTTACACCGTTTACATTTGACATAAAGTACAGACACACGCACTGCAGCGCATTACTGTCTGTAGTTTATGAGCATAAAGTACAGACACAGCACTGCAGCGCATTACTGTCTGTAGTTTATGAGCATAAAGTACAGACACAGCACTGCAGCGCATTACTGTCTGTAGTTTATGAGCATAAAGTACAGACACAGCACTGCAGCGCATTACTGTCTGTAGTTTATGAGCATAAAGTACAGACACAGCACTGCAGCGCATTACTGTCTGTAGTTTATGAGCATAAAGTACAGACACAGCACTGCAGCGCATTACTGTCTGTAGTTTATGAGCATAAAGTACAGACACAGCACTGCAGCGCATTACTGTCTGTAGTTTATGAGCATAAAGTACAGACACACGCACTGCAGTGCATTACTGTCTGTAGTTTATGAGCATAAAGTACAGACACAGCACTGCAGCACATTACTGTCTGTAGTTTATGAGCATAAAGTATAGACACAGCACTGCAGCGCATTACTGTCTGTAGTTTATGAGCATAAAGTACAGACACAGCACTGCAGCACATTACTGTCTGTAGTTTATGAGCATAAAGTACAGACACAGCACTGCAGCGCATTACTGTCTGTAGTTTATGAGCATAAAGTACAGACACAGCACTGCAGCGCATTACTGTCTGTAGTTTATGAGCATAAAGTACAGACACAGCACTGCAGCGCATTACTGTCTGTAGTTTATGAGCATAAAGTACAGACACACGCACTGCAGTGCATTACTCTCTGTAGTTTATGAGCATAAAGTACAGACACAGCACTGCAGCGCATTACTGTCTGTAGTTTATGAGCATAAAGTACAGACACAGCACTGCAGCGCATTACTGTCTGTAGTTTATGAGCATAAAGTACAGACACACGCACTGCAGTGCATTACTGTCTGTAGTTTATGAGCATAAAGTACAGACACACGCACTGCAGCACATTACTGTCTGTAGTTTATGAGCATAAAGTACAGACACACGCACTGCAGCGCATTACTGTCTGTAGTTTATGAGCATAAAGTACAGACACAGCACTGCAGCGCATTACTGTCTGTAGTTTATGAACATAAAGTATAGACACACGCACTGCAGCGCATTACTGTCTGTAGTTTATGAGCATAAAGTACAGACACAGCACTGCAGCGCATTACTGTCTGTAGTTTATGAGCATAAAGTATAGACACACGCACTGCAGCGCATTACTGTCTGTAGTTTATGAGCATAAAGTACAGACACACGCACTGCAGCGCATTACTGTCTGTAGTTTATGAGCATAAAGTACAGACACAGCACTGCAGCGCATTACTGTCTGTAGTTTATGAGCATAAAGTACAGACACAGCACTGCAGCACATTACTGTCTGTAGTTTATGAGCATAAAGTACAGACACACGCACTGCAGCGCATTACTGTCTGTAGTTTATGAGCATAAAGTACAGCACTGCAGTGCATTACTGTCTGTAGTTTATGAGCATAAAGTACAGACACAGCACTGCAGCGCATTACTGTCTGTAGTTTATGAGCATAGTGTACAGACACAGCACTGCAGCGCATTACTGTCTGTAGTTTATGAGCATAAAGTACAGACACAGCACTGCAGCGCATTACTGTCTGTAGTTTATGAGCATAAAGTACAGACACACGCACTGCAGTGCATTACTGTCTGTAGTTTATGAGCATAAAGTACAGACACACGCACTGCAGTGCATTACTGTCTGTAGTTTATGAGCATAAAGTACAGACACAGCACTGCAGCGCATTACTGTCTGTAGTTTATGAGCATAAAGTACAGACACAGCACTGCAGCGCATTACTGTCTGTAGTTTATGAGCATAAAGTACAGACACACGCACTGCAGTGCATTACTGTCTGTAGTTTATGAGCATAAAGTACAGACACACGCACTGCAGCACATTACTGTCTGTAGTTTATGAGCATAAAGTACAGACACACGCACTGCAGCGCATTACTGTCTGTAGTTTATGAGCATAAAGTACAGACACAGCACTGCAGCGCATTACTGTCTGTAGTTTATGAGCATAAAGTATAGACACACGCACTGCAGCGCATTACTGTCTGTAGTTTATGAGCATAAAGTACAGACACACGCACTGCAGCGCATTACTGTCTGTAGTTTATGAGCATAAAGTACAGACACAGCACTGCAGCGCATTACTGTCTGTAGTTTATGAGCATAAAGTACAGACACAGCACTGCAGCACATTACTGTCTGTAGTTTATGAGCATAAAGTACAGACACAGCACTGCAGCACATTACTGTCTGTAGTTTATGAGCATAAAGTACAGACACAGCACTGCAGTGCATTACTGTCTGTAGTTTATGAGCATAAAGTACAGACACAGCACTGCAGCGCATTACTGTCTGTAGTTTATGAGCATAGTGTACAGACACAGCACTGCAGCGCATTACTGTCTGTAGTTTATGAGCATAAAGTACAGACACAGCACTGCAGCGCATTACTGTCTGTAGTTTATGAGCATAAAGTATAGACACACGCACTGCAGCGCATTACTGTCTGTAGTTTATGATCATAAAGTACAGACACACGCACTGCAGCGCATTACTGTCTGTAGTTTATGAGCATAAAGTATAGACACACGCACTGCAGCGCATTACTGTCTGTAGTTTATGAGCATAAAGTACAGACACATGCACTGCAGCGCATTACTGTCTGTAGTTTATGAGCATAAAGTACAGACACAGCACTGCAGCGCATTACTGTCTGTAGTTTATGAGCATAAAGTATAGACACAGCACTGCAGCGCATTACTGTCTGTAGTTTATGAACATAAAGTATAGACACACGCACTGCAGCGCATTACTCTCTATAGTTTATGAGCATAAAGTATAGACACACGCACTGCAGCGCATTACTGTCTGTAGTTTATGAGCAGAGATGGAGCAACTCTGTTTGGCTCCCATTGAAAACCATGTAAATCTGGTCTGTTTTGTAGTCAAGAGGCTCTCCTCCTGTGGGTGTACAGGAGATATATAATATATATATATATAGCTCGTAGTGTGAAAAAAATATGTATTTAAGTATCTCACGAAAAAAGTAAAATGAACTGAACTTTGAACTAGTTCAGAATTAAAAATGTGAACTTTGAACGTGAACTGTTCACTTTGAGCATGTATGAACTGAACTTGAACTAGTTCAGAAAAGCTGTGAACTGGCACAACACTGCTAATAACACACACAAAAATCACAGAAGCCCTGTGCCCCATGGCCAAGCAAATTCTATTATTGTTTAATGATTAAGTACTCATTTTTCATTTAGAAAAAATGAGTACTTAATCCATTTCCCTTGCTATGGTTTTGTGTTCTTTCAACCAATAAAATATTTTAATGTTCTTGAATTTTAAGTGAGTGTGTCTATACAATGTGTTTTCTTGTTGAAATATGTCTAAATGTATATGACTAATGTGTTTCTCATTGACTGAAAATAGTATTTTTAATTAGTAAGTACACCAAAAGTACTATAATTTACCCAGTAGATGGTGCTAATGCTATATAGACAAAGGACGAATACAATACTTACACGACGCCTTGCTAATGAACGAAGAGCCATTCTCCTCCTCCGCCTCATCGCCTGTCTTCGCCTTCTCTCTGTTCGGCGGTTTTTAATTCGCATTATGAGAAGTTTTATAATTG